GACGTTTGTTTAGGCTGTACTTTGATAAAATGCTGTCTATGGTCCACTTTCTTAGCTTGGCATTCAGCAGACTCTTATAGATTTATTTCTCTTTGCATTATCTTATCTTCCTTTCTAGCATACTTGGGCTTCCTTTTCATATTTTAAGTTACATTTTGGGGCATAGACAGATCACCTTAGTAATTGTATACTGGAGCATTGCAGTGTTCTAAAGATAATTTTGCAAGCCTTTGGCATATACTTAACCCCACTAACTGTCTAAAGATGAGTATATATGTTCCTTTTTGTGTTGTCTGTGAATAAGCAAAAAGGACAGATTAAGTGCTGGAAGTGATTTCAGGCTTACAGAAACTTTCTTGAGGTCTATGGGACAGTGACAATTTCTGCAGTAATGTAAATCTGGCCTTGAATCTAGAAGGTGGCTCACTTGATGAGGAAATTAATGAGGATTTTTTTTCTTTGTGTTTCTAATTTAAAGCCAAGTGTATACACTTGAGCCTTTAAAAAAAGATGTAGATGTAAAGGAGGCATCAGAACTGCAAATATTTCAGTTTTCCCAGTTTGAGGGGAGAATTTTTTTTAAAAGCAGGAACATTTAATTTAAGCTTCCTAATTTATTTCAGTGTCTACCATTTTCTAAAAACAGTACTGTATTTTCAGTGAAGTATTTGTCATTAGGTGCTTTCAGTTAGATATATCAACACATTGGCTTATGGGGATTGTAAAAGTGTGGAATCTAATGTAGGGCTGGCAGATGAAGTTAGTCTTTAAAAAAAAATTATGTTCAGTATCCCTCACCCTCAAAAAAAAAAAAAACAACTTTTATAGTAGGGTTAATGAAAACCCATAACCATGAAGGATTAGCTAGCTCATAGTGATTTAAACTATTAGTTAAAATGTATCAGCTTAATAAAAAGTTATTTTAAACCCATTTTATAAAGCATATTGCTTTTTAAAAAACTAATGTAATGACTCTGTCAGCCTATAATTAAGAATTTGCTTTGCCTGGCATCCCTGTAGAAACAGCTAATGGCCAGATATAATCTTAACATACTCAGAACATCTTTCCAACTATCCTAAAGTAAGAAATGTCCCAGTTTTCTAGTTTTATATACTGTTAAAAAAATTTCTGCCAATTACTCTTTGATTTCAGTAGATTGGAATTACTGAATGTAGATTTCAATCAAGGTATTTTAGGAGAAGTTATCATTAGTTTATGGCCAATATTTAAATGAGAGTTTCAGAATGTATATGATCCTTGTTACACTAATTTTATCCAGAATTGTATCATTGTATAATATCGGTACTTATAAACCAGACTTAATAGCCAAAAGCAAACAAAAACACCCAAATAATATAATAAGGAAAAGATGAGGAAAAATAAAATGAAAAACAAACAATTTTGTATTGATACTAATATTGATGACTGGCTCTAAATGTACTTTTATAAAGTTACATTTATAAATGTATTTTGAGGTTTAATCATTAAGAAAAATTCAATTTGGTGCCGTGTTTTATGGTAACATCTATAGAGAATTAGAAATGTATTTTTCTCTGGATTGAGAGAAAACTGATAATTCTTAATTTATTGGGACTTTTGATGTTATTATAAGAGGAGAAATACATGTTAAATACATGAAAACCCTAAGTTACAGAATTATAGGAGAAAAAGAGTTTAGAAGGTTCATTCTTTTGGTTGCTGATGACTATTAACATCATCATAGTTATTAAACATCATCGTATCATGACATAGTTATTAAAGCTATATCATTCTGAATTTTGACCTGGAAGAGGAAAATGGGTTTAAAAGGGCCATAGAACATAGGACTATAATAGTGGACATAGGGGGCCTAGTTAGGAGGTTACTGTAATTGTCCAAGTGGGAGATGATTTAGATTGTACCAGACATGTATGTATGTGAAAAAATGTGTGTGTGCACTCACCCATGCATAAAGAGTGAGAGGGACAGAGAGAACGTGTATTCCTTGAAGGGAAAATGAGCGAATTTCAGGCATGCCGCATATTTGAAGCATATACTTGCAGTTTACTTGGTGACTGAAAGCTTCATGTACAATTGTTTAATGTTTACTCTTATGATATTTTGAAGGAGGGAAGGATAACACAGAAAGGTATAAGCAGAAAAAAGTGAAAACTAGCCTATACTTTCGACTACCATTAGATAATGACTATTAGCATTTTTGTGTATTTACCTCTCATTTTTTTCTATGAATAGAGTTTTATTTTGGGAAGATCTTACTGTATATAAATTTACATGTCAAGAACTGTGAAAGATCTGAGATTTTTTCCTATTGATATGCTAGCAGGTTAGCCTGCCTCAGTTTCACAGATATAAGCAGATGACCAGAGACTCTTGGCTTTAGAGGCAAAGGACTTTGTTGCTCAAGGTGCAGAGAACAGCTTCAGCATATTTTTGTCAGTTCCCCTTTCCCCAGGTCCCACGGAGGCAAGGCAGGTGAGCCAGGTGAATAGCAGCACATGTAGTGGGTTACAGTAAAGGAGAGCAACCCTGAGCTTAGGGAACTTGAATCTTTTATAATGGGCAATAACATGTCTTCCCTCTGCTCTGGAAGGAGACACTATTATACAGGGCAATAAGCATGTCCACCCTTTGATCCTAAGGGAGACACTATGTCTATCTTCCAAGGCTACTCATTATACAAACATTCTTGGGAAACTGTGAGAAAAGAAGATAGTGCCTTTGCTTCTAGAATGTGCAGAAATACAAGACTCATGGAGTCTCTCAATAAACATAAGTCTTTTCATTTATCATTACATTTTTTATCAGCATTTTAAATGGCTGGATATAGTTGTAAAGAGTAAATTGTAGGGATATAGCATACTATACTATCAACTCCTAATTTTTCTAATAATGATCTTTTAGATTGTTTCCATCAAAAAGCTTCAGCTTGACCTTGTGTAGAAATATGCAGTGGCTATGAATGGCCAACATGTCTATTGTCTCAAGATGTTATCCAGGAGACAGGCTCTGTGAAGCTGAATATTAATGCTGTTGTTTGTAGTCCAGCCTGCACTGGTTTTCTTCTGGAAAGCAGAGATATTTCCTGACATTTCTGCTGCTCACATGTCTCACTGAATCTCAGACAGAAGCTCCTACTACCTGACATTTAGTGAGGCCCAGAAAAGTCCATATAAATCCCTGCAGTGAAAAGGGGAAAAAAAATTCTGAGAATCAAATAATGGCTATCTTCTCCAAACATCTGGACAGGGCCTGGTCTGGTGATAAGGATTAAAGAAAGGCAAAACAGGATCATGACCAGGTTCTACTCCTGGGGTTTGTAAGCAAGAAAGTACCCAGTATGGAGGCTTTCCTGGGGCTACAGGGTTTTCTAAATTATCTAGGATATTGCTGTAGTGACACAAATGGTTGGGACAAAGCTTTCTCAGGGGGAAGGGGAACTAAATGAAACATACCAGAAGAGCCATTTCCTAGTCAATAATGGTGTCAGAAAATTCCAGGTTAAAATATGTGACAGATGTTGCCGGAAAATTGGACTGTAAAATGGGAGAAAGCAACTGTAATACTTATCTGAGTATTGATCAGCGATTAATCAGCAGTCAAAGCATTGTAATTTTATTTTGAATGAGAGGAAGAGTTATCCAGTGGTGTCTTTAAAGGTTTTTGAAAAGTATAAAGTGAACTTATTTATTTCTTGAACACACATTTTTGGCACCTGCTATGTTCTCAGTGCTCTTCTAGAAGCTGGAGAATTGGTGGTGCCCAAGACAAATGAAGTTCTGAGTCAGGGAGTGTTAAGTCTAGAAAACAAATAAATAATACCTTATGATTCTTTCAAATAGTAAAGAGTTCTATGAAAAAGCAGTGTAATGTGATAGGCCAGTTGTTTGGGCATGAGGTGGAAGCTGGGAGGACACTGCCAGGGAGAGCGGCTGGAGAGGGCTTTTCTGAGCAGAGACACGAAGGATGCTGCGTGAGGCAAAGGCATTCCAGTCCAGCTGTAGGGAATGGCAAAGGCAAAGCTTATGAGGTGAGAACAAGTGTAACATTTTCAAGCACTAGAAAAGAGATCAAGAGCAAAATGTGCTGTAGCCTAATGATTGAGGAGGGAGAAAGGGAACAAGATTACCTCAGAGAGGTGGTCAAGGCCAGCTGATGTATTGATTTGCAGGTATCAGGAAAAGGTCTGGATTTGAAGTTTAATGGGTGATGCAGTGGACTTTTCATGCAGCAGAATGGTGGAATTTGAGTTTACAATGTTTTATAAAATTACTTTGATCTCCGTACCAGGAAGACAAGTGGGTGAGCTACACAGGTAGATGCTGGCGGTTGGGAGAAGTTTGGTAGCAGTAGAACAGTTTAGATAAGGGATGTATTTTAAAATCAAATCTACTGAAATTGTCAGTGGTTTGGCTCTGAGTGGAAGGAAAGAAATCAAGAATGACTTCTAAGTATGGAGCTTGGGCTACTTAGTGGATGGTGGGGCAATTACTGAGATAAGGAATACGGAAGAAGGAGTAGTTCTTGGTGGAATGGCAGAGGAGCATTACTCATTCCATTGAAAATGGAAAGGAAACCATAGTAAATATCTCTGCATGCCTTTCTTCAAAAGAAAATCTAGTATGAAAATACAATGCTTGATATTGAAGTTGCTGCTCAGTTTTGTTGCTTTTTCTTGGAGTACCTAGAATATTACGTGGGTGATGGAAGGATGGGCAGATGGATGACTGACTGGTTGGATAAATATGTAGCTGTCTTAGAAAGGAATGTTCAGATTGACTCTCCATTTATCATATGCAGCTCTATCTACGAAGCCATCGAAAAATCCGTGCCTCAGAGGACACAGTATGTGGGTCCAGTGTGAGAATCATGGAAGTAGTTTTTCTTAAACATTATCCATAATTCCTCCCCATGATAGAATGCTTCATGGGTCATTTCAACTATGAATGCTGATTTTTTTTTCACTTTATAAAAATCATCACAATAATCTTTATTTTACCAGGCAGGAAGCACTGCTTGCAGCAATCAGTGAAAAAGATGCAAACATTGCCTTGCTGGAATTGTCTGCCTCCAAAAAGAAAAAGACACAGGAAGAAGTCATGGCCCTCAAGCGGGAAAAAGATCGACTGGTGCATCAGTTAAAGCAGCAGGTGGGGCCTCATGCACAAAAGGTGTGTTTTGCTGGTTTGGGGCCTTGGGTGCTTTCTCTGGGTTTAGCTGCTCTTCATTTTGCCATGTCCATCCTGCGAGCTCAAGCAACTAAAATCAGGTAGGAGTGAAATGTCCTGACTTGTTGCTGAAACATCATTTTATTGCTTTTCTGTGCTTATGTGCATATGCCTGGGCTTATGTGGTTTGCAATCAGTGCTGTTTTCCTTTCTTTTGTGTTAGCATCATCCCTCCAGAAATAGCTCTCAGCTCTCTTCCTTCCAGTGGACTTTGTATGACTTATGACTAAGTCCTAGAAAGTACTAATTAAATTCTGGTTACCTTCTTTCTCATTGGACCTGTTACCTTCTGTCTTGCTCACTTTCTGGGCCCTGTGATAACTCCCATCATCCAATTCTTTTGATTTCTTTCTCTCCATACCTTCAACTTTGATTCTTCAACTATTTCTCCCAGAACTTTCTGGTCCCTTATGCTTGGAGACTGCTAGACTGTGCTTGGAGACTTTCCTAGTCATTGTTTAGTCAGATATTTTTTTATCACCTGTTTACCCCATTGTCCTGGTTTCTCCTCCTTTCTAGGCCACTGTATTTCTTCTGAGAGAAAAGGAAGGAGGGACAAAATCCTAACTGGTGCAGAAAATTCTTTGTTTTCTGGAGGATTTTCTAGAAGTGGCTTAAATGGAAATATTTATACCTGAAGCATATTGCAAAATCATCCCTGAAATCTTCAGACATTATTTCTTCTCTGTATACAGCCTGAGGGCTTTTGGAATCAATGGTTAAAGATACTAGATTCTAGTTTCTTTATAAAACCCATTCAGCAGATAATGGCTTAATGGTCTGTGGTCTCACAGGGTGGCTGCCACATCTTAGATAGGGCCACCTGTGGCTCTGAAGCTCTCCCTAGGGCCGGGAGCTGCTTACATCTGACCTCTTTGTCTGTGGCTGTGCATCTTCTACACTGGTTTTTCCACCCACTTGGCCAAGAAAGTCAAGACAAGCTTTCTTCTTTGCTTTCTCCTAATTCCTTTCTTATGTGCCCTCTACCCTCCCCTCCTGCACCTAACCATTGTAGCTTTCTCCCACAGGTTTATAGACCTAGGAAACAGCCCCTGAGCTCGAATATACCATGCACTTGTGATGCTGGCTACATCCCAGATATTACAGCCAAGTACCACGGGTCCAGCTACGATGCATATATGATCCAAAGGTCTCAGGTCAGTCAGCTGCTAAGGAGACACTCACCCCCACCATTGGGGTGGGAGTGCATAAGAGCTACATCACATCTTGACCTTCGCCTCTTTTGATGATTTCCAGTTTTCAGTGGCCACAAAGTCTGGGATCATAGATGTTAGCACTATATCTTGATTTGTATTGCAATTTCGTGTATTACGTATTTGCCAGTGGTTCCAGTCTTGGTGGCCACCTTATAGGGCCAGCTTTTCTGAAATAGCCTGGCACTGCTGTAAAGGCAAGGTTACCAGAGGCTTCACTGTTAGGCCCAGTGCGTTAAATTTTTCTTTTTGTCTCTTAGACACTCTGCTTCCCAAATCTCCCTCTACTTTTCCCAGTAAGGAATTTTTTTAAGGCTTGTTTTTTTTTTTCTCAGCATCATGAAAATGCACTCCTGGATTCCAGGAAGGATTGAGTGTAGCCCTTCAATTTGCTCCTGGGAAACAGTACAAAGCCTTCATTATTCACAACAGGCTTGGTTTTGGGTATCAGGGGGCACATTTGGGAAACCCCAGCCATGCAGAGTTAGGCTCCTGCCTGGGCTAAAACAAGATCTGAAGGGCTGTTGTGGAAAAAGAGGCAGCAAAAAGGGGGAGGATGGGCTTCTTTCCGTTACTTAAGTTTGAAGTTCTTCCCCCACACCTTACTGGCCACAGAGCAAGAAAAAGAATGTGCATATAGCTGTCTTTGTTGCAGATGATAATGATCCTAAGAATGATGACTAATTTGCTTATAAAAGCAAGCCCTTTTATTGAGAGTTTACTTTGTGCCAGAATGTGAATCCAGTGTCCTCAAGGATTTTGTCCCACAGTTTTCACAGAAGCCCTGTGATGTGAGTGCCAAGATGACCTCCTCTTTCTAGGGAGCATAGCTGAGACTCAGAGTATGGAATAACCAGCCCAAGACACACAACTTGTAAGTGATAGAGTTCAGGTTTTGTATAGTCCACCTAAGTCCACAGATACCCCACTAGGTTCAGGAAGGAATTCAGAGTGACAAGCGGATGGGTATTCCAGAGATTGTGAGGTCCTCTTATATATCTTTGTATACCAGAAATAGATGCCAAAATACTCATTTAAAAAATGTTCCCCAGTCATTCACAAAGAGGGGGTTCTGCCTAGAGCTCTTGTCTTAGGATGTTTGATCACATCATCAACTACTAGTCCTCGAGGTCTCATCATGTGCATGGATCTAAGGGCTTTATGTACATTAACTTGACAACTCCCACCAAAACAGAAGTGCTGATGCTCTTACAGAGAAGGAACCAGAGGTCCAGAGAGGCTGGGTGCCCTGCTCAGGCTTCATAGCTAGACATACCATGATACTTAAAGAAAACTTTTGCCACATAACCTTAAGTGGATTTTGCAGATACCATCTGGAGTTGGACTGCTTAGACTGAATTTTGTTTCTTGCACTTGTTAGCTGAGTGATCATGAGCAAGATACTAAACCCCCCTGAGCCTCAGTTTCCTAATTTGTAAGTTGGGCTAATAACCTAATTCAAAGGGTTGTTGTGAGGTGTAATGTATATAAAGTGATTTGCACATACCTGACACATAATATGTGCTATATATGTGTGACCTGCCATTACTACTGCTGCTACTAATTAATTTCATCACCACCAACACTCATAGGCACTTTGGTTTTGATTTTATCTTTGCTATTTTTCACACACCTTGGAGTCACAGCTCATTGAGAACATACTGTTGAACTGTGGGAGAAAGAGCAGGCAGATGTTGGCAGTGAAGCCTTCCTGGTCCTCCCACCCCTAAAGCCTAAGCACTTGGGGAGCAGTGAACAGACATTTCAGGAATTCTAGACCCCAGTTCCCAGTCTGCACTGAACTGGCCCACAGCACTTATTAAATTTGCTTGATTTGTTTGTACAGCCCACATAGACATCAGTCAGAGAGGATATCCCTGGGAGGGCAAGTCCCAGACCTCAATTATCATCACCTGCATGACTTCCTTGGCAGAGCAGAGCTCTTTTAGGCATCCAGGCCAATGGAAGGGGATGGTCACGGATCTGGGTGTTCACCTGCCTAATGTTCTGCAAGGATTTGAGGCAAATGAGCTCATGATGCTACCCTCTTCACACTGCCCTTTGAACTCATCTCATGCAGGTGTCTCTGCCCATAGCATTTCCAGTGACCAAACACAAGTACTGGGTTAATAATCCCCATAGTTATTGCACTTTGACAAATACATAGTAGGAACTCAGTAAATATTTGTTATGTGAATGAATGCATGATTTCCACACGCCAGGTCTATGCCAAATGTTTTATATATACAGTAAGTTTACAAACATTATCTCACTTTTTCCTCACAATCAACCAACTATCCAACATACTGCATACCTACTATGTGCCAGGCTCTCTGCTAGGTACTGGGGCTTCATCCACAACAGATATTTTACATATAATATCCGTAATCCCTTCCTTATGGAGCTTACTTTTTAAATTAGAGGAGGTAGAGAGAAAGATAATAAACAATGAACATAATAAATAGTTACGTGGTAGGAAAAAAGGAAAAATATAGACTAGAATAAGGGCAATAGGCATGCCAGGTTAAGACTAAGGGGCTGGTGACACTGTAAAATAGGGTAGACAGGATGGGCCTCATTGGGAAAAAGACATTAGAACAAAGACTTGAAGGAAATGAGAGAGTAAGCCTTGTGGATATCTGGGGGGAGTGCAAAATCATTGAGGCAGGAGAGTACTGGTGTCTTTGGGAACAGCAGTGAGCACAGTGTGACTAGAGTGATCAAGGAGGTGAAAAGGCTAGCAGTCAGAGTAATGGGGTGATGTGGGCTGTGTAGGACTCTTGTGTGGGATCTGCTCCAAGTGGGATATCCTGGAGCAGAAATTCCCCGCAGTTAGGAAACAGAATACACCAATCATGCGGCCTCAGAACAGGGATGACTCCTTCCAGACCACTCAGAGTGCCCTGTTTAAGGCTACTCTATTGAGCCTACTCTTTGAATCCCCTGGCCAGCCTCTAAGGAGTCCCAGTGGTTAGTCTGCATTTTAAAAAAAGCACTGGCACTCCACTGGAGCTACAGAAAAGAACTAATGCCAGAATTTGCTTGTCATGGCTAATGAGGTTTTCAAATAGAGTAGGAACAGGGCCCTTTGACAAAATGCCCTCCCTGACCTGGCAGTCACAATAACATATCGTTTGAGTCTAAATCTCATACTCTCTTTGCTGTAAGGAGCTAGGCAGGTGGACATTAGCCACCTCCATGCCATTGGCCTCCTCAGGGTGGTGGCTATGCCTGGGAGAAGTGCAGCCAGCCTCCAGGACAAGCCAGAGGTTCCCAAATCTCAGTAATTAGAAGTATGATCTTTTCTAAAGATAAATCTCATGCTCATCACCCTGTAGCTCTTAGTGGTGAAAAACCTTCCTTGGCTTCTCTTGCTGGTGGGATAAAGACAAATTTAAACCGATGTGCTCTCTACCTTATACATGCAATTCCCTTTGCCTGCAACACATTTCCCTCTTTTCCTCACCTAGTTAACACCTACTGGTTCATTCAGTTTCGGTCCAATATCACTTTTTCAGAGAGGCCTTCTGGGACTTTCTCATTTGAGTCAGATACCCAATTTGGCACTCTTGTAGCACATGTTCATCGTTTAATTGCACTGTGGAGCACATACAATTTTGCATCTGTTTTGGTGATTATTTGAATAGTAACTATCTGCCCTCCTAGTTAATGAACTCCGTGAGGGACTGAGAATATGGCTCCATAACT